TATCTGGAAAGAAGAGAAAGTTGGGTCAAATTGCTCATTCTTTCTGCCTTGCTTTTCCCCCTAAGTATGATGAGGGGGACAGGACTGTCACTGGAGAACACGGCATTGTGTGAACCAGTGTTTCTCGCTGGTGTGGTTGTGGAGGCAATCCCCCATGGGGCAGTCTTTTAGGCTGTTTACCTGGAGTCCCCACCCTGTGGCTGATACCACAGCTGCCCTGCCGAAGACCTGGTTCTTCTCAGAAACCTAGCAGCACCAAAAACAAAGCGGCGACAAAGCCTTAGTGTCCCTAGACCAGCAAACCAGGATTGTTCCGTCAACAGACGTCTTCCTCTGACTTCCAAAAAGTAGAAGATCCAAGTTGTCCCTTAAAAAGTCTCCTGAAGAGATACATTCCAACAGCTATCGCTGGGTGATCAGGGTTAGAAACTCCTTTAGGTTTTTTTTTTAACCCTTCATTCTTTTATTTCCAACTTTGCCATTACGGGCATGGGTCACTTTAGTCATCTGGTAATCACCTCAGCCACTTCTTCACTCAGCAACTCTCTGAGTTAGGTCCAATGGTTCTTAACATTTTCTTTTAAAAAAAGACAGTTAAGTCCCTTAACTTGGTCGAGATCTGGCTTTTCATTTCCTCCTTCATGAACTGAGGTGGTCCCTTCCCTGTTTGGGAACCCCAAACCCCCCAAACTGTTCCTTGACAGTGACACCGCAGGTGGTGTCAGCAGCCTGCTGGAGAACGAGGCTGAGAGCCACATCCACCAGCCGCCTATCTCCTGGGGTTCGCACATCCTACGCACAGCTGATGTAACTGAGTGTTCAGACCTTAAGATGGGGCGTATCTGCCATCTTTAGCAATTTTCAGAAACCACACTCACTGTGAAGTCCAGCTGGACCAACCTTGGTTGTTGTCATTTGATTGGTTGGTTGGTGGGGGGTGTTTTTGTTTTTGTTTCTTGCCCCTGTGGAGAGCAGTGCATTCAGCCTCCAGCAGAGCAATGCCAAAAGTGCCAGATTCCTGGGAAATCACCCTAAGAGGGCTCTTCCAGGAAGGACCCCCTGCTGCCAAATTTCCTGAGATATCTAGGTGATCAGACCCTGTCAAGAATCCTCATCCCACAAAAACCCACCTGAAGTATTCACACCTACTAAACACGCTTTGTAAATTCCTTCCACTTTTACTTGGAACCGCATTGCCCCATCTTTTAAATATAAAAACTTTTTAAAACTAAAATCCTTCACACTGTTTTTAATGAAATCTCAAATGTGCCACCCCCCCATTCACTATCAAAACATGTAGCTATCACTCACCAGCCCAATGTTTTTTAAAAAATTAATAATAAGCAAAACCAAATACCCCTCACTTTCCATGGAGCCTCTGCTTCCACAGTAAACCCAGTGTCTTGCTTTTAAATTTGGTAATTTGAAGATGATGACTTTCTAAGATTGTAGGCAAAAGCTTGCTTTGCTGCATCAGAGTTTTGCTGGCATTATTTTCCTGTACGTGTACTTGTTAATTATTTCACGTTTGCTGTAAATATCATCGGTTCTCCATAGGGTGATGTCCATTGTCAATAAGTAGTGATGGGTTTATTTTCACCACGGCTCATGTGGCTGAAGGACCGCCTCTGAACCACTTTTCCCTCCAGGAATTTCTCTTCCTGCTTCCCCTTTGCAGTTGACGGAATCCCGAAGAGATGGCTGGAAACTGACTTTTAGGGCGCCTTGGGATACTTGCGTCCACTCCAACTCTTGAGCTCCAGCGCCGGATGCCCCTGCCCCCCCCACCCTGCCCCCAGCCTCAGCGGGCAGCCGGACGTGGTTATCTCAGTTGCCAGTAGAGGGCACACTTAGTTTACTTTCGCAAACCCCAGCGAGTACAGACCAAGAGGTGGGAGCGAGAGAAACAGGCTTTGCAGGAAACCGTGAACGCAGATCCGTCGCTCCCGGCGTTTGCGGCAAAGGCCTGGAGGCTGGAGCAATTTGCAATCCTTAACGCTGAATTGTGCTGGGCGCTGGAGTTGGAGGAAGTTACTACTCATTTTAACAATCGGACTCTGAGCTGACGACTCAACGGTTAATAATTTACTTTGAACACTAGCACCTTAAATACGCACCCCCGCCCCGAGGTTTTTTTGGGTTTTTTCCCCCTCTCTCTTTTGGGATGTGAGGACTGAGCGTAAGAAGTGGAAAAGTTTACTTAAAATGCTTTTGGGTGAAGGGATGGGAAAATGGCCTTTGTTTTTAATGCCCTAGAATAATGCAAAGTCGCAAATCCTGAGAGAATATGCATTAAATATTAAGTATAGGTTCATTCAGGCAGAGAATAAATCTTATGTCGAGTTGGGCAACATTCTGGGTTGAAGTGCACATGAAATGTAAATTAGATTGTACGCTGATTATACAGAGAAACTTTCACTATGGCGTTCAGACCAAAAATTTAGGGTCAGTGAACTAGGAAATTAGTGCCTGAAACTCGGCCAATTTTTTATTTATTTATTTTTATTTTCAAGAACACCACCCCAAAAGGCACAGAAGTAATACTTGTGTCCTCTCCTTTGACCAGAATTGGTGTGTTTTTTTCATGCATGATCATGGTTCCATCAGTAAAGGGAAAAGGAGACCAGGAAAGAAGTTAAAGGTCCGGTTTGTCCAAGGAGGAAGGAGTTAACGGTCTTGTTCACCGGGGTCTCTGCTTGGTACCCCGGACAGGGACCTCAAGCTTGCTTCCTCTCCCTCTTCTGGGGAGTCCGGTCCCACGGTTCTCTCCTCTCCTCCCCAATATTCTCCCATCTAGAGCCTTTGATTTTCCTGAAACCTGGGAGCCCCAGACTAGATAGAGTAAACCCGAGCTACTGGCTCAAATAGGATTTTTCTGAAAACTGGCTAAGGAATTGGAACTCCAAAAGGCGCGGGGATTCGATGGGGCGTCGTTGGGGCGGGGGGGGGGGGCAGGTACAGACCCGCAGAGAGCGGGAGGAGGGAACTCCGCAGCGCGCATCGACAACTCGACAACTCGTACGCATCACCCTTACTCCAGTGCCGAACGCGCAGAAAGATCTCAGCGATTAACGTGTACTGGGTAGGTCTGCGCGGGAGGGGCGGGGAGGAGGGTCTGCTGCCTTGGCAGCAAATTGGGGCAGTCATTCTGGTGGAAGGTGCCCAATCGAGATAACTATATACGCACAAAGCATAACACCCCCCACCAATGCAATGGGTGTTTATTCATAATGCGCTCTCCAAGTCTACGTGGCAGTGCTTTGCGGAGTTCTTTTAATAATTTCAGGCATCATTTCTCAGCTCTAATCACTTATCCCCATCCACGCTAATACCCCCACACACACTCAGCGCACAGCCATAAATAATACCCTCTCTTTCCACTTCTAGTCATAGCACTTATTCCAAAGGCTTCCCTTTCCCCAGCCTTAGGAAAGCGCCCAGCCGCCCGGGACGTGAGTAGCCTGGCCGTGAGTACACGTTGTGTTCTCAGTGTAGGGAGCTCAGCTGTTCCGCCTGCGATGATTTAAGCACGCAGGACCAGTAAGCGGCCTGTCACATCGAGTGGTGCCAGAGGAACAGCAGAGAGAAGGACGGGGCTTGAGCCGGCGCAAAATGGTAGACGAGCGCAGTGTAATTAATGCTACGATCTGACTATTTACATCCGATTGCTCCGCGCACTAGAGTACCAGGCGCATAGGCTGAGTCTCCTCCTCCCGCCCTTCCCTCACCACAGGCGCCCCTCCCGGTTTCCCAAAGGTGGGGGGGCGCTGTAAAAAGATCCTCTGTCGCGACCCCGCCCACCGGTCCTTTATAGGCGAGGGTCTGCGAGCCGCAGGACCCCCCAGCTGCGCTTCTCGCGGCGGCTGCTGCTACTACCGCCTTTCACGCGTCCCGCCTGCCGCCTTCTTACTCTCCCACCCACCCCCCTCATCCCCCGCCTCGCGAAGGGCAGGGCTAGTCCGAGGCTTGGCGGGAAAAGGACAGGGTGGGCTGAACCGATATAAAACCGGCTTATCTGACTTGCTGTAGTAATTCCAACGAGAGGCAGAGGGAGCGAGCGGGCGGACCCGCCAGGGTGAGCGGAGCGAGCCGGGCGAGTCGAGTCGCGCTCGGAGCGCCCAGGGCAGGGAGATCCGGAGTGAAAGGGGGGCACCTCCGCCTCCGGCCGAGCCTCCTCCTCTCGGCCCTTCCCGCGGACCCCTGCCGGCGATCCGCAGCCCTCGCCCCGTCCAGGAAACTTTGCCCCTTGCAGAGGGCGGGCACTTTCCCCTGGAACTTATACAACAGCCGACGAGGACGCGCTCTCCGGACGCGGAGAGGCTCTTCTGTCTATTTGCGGAGACCCTTCTCCCCGCCGCCGTCGCCGACCCTCTCCTCCGAAAGGCGCCCCTGGCCGCTTTTGGACGGTGGATTTCCTTCGGATAGTGGGAAACACGGTAAGCACCCAGTTCTATTTGTCTTTTATTTATTTTCCTACCGCCTTCATGGACGCGATGAGTCCCATACCCGAATCGGGGTGTCTTTTCTCCCATTCCTGGACTGTTGACACTTACCAGAGTAGTTGGGGTAGTTCGGGGTGGGGTAGAGTGTCTGATCTAGATGGGAGCGTGGAATGCAAGAGAAAACGGGAGCACGTATTTCAAACAAGCCTTTGGAGATTTTTGCCGATGGATATTGACGCAGAGTCCGGCCGGTTGGACATCCCTGCTTTATTGCATTGCTTTGAGGGTTTTTTCGGGGGGGGGGAAGGGAGGGGTAACTATGCTTCGTGTTGGACAGAAAGCCCTTTGCATCTTGAGCTCCTCGGAGTAAGGGTTGCATATCCTTCGGTGTGATCTGGAGAACTGGCGCAGCCTCCCGCTTCTCCCCGGTCTCCGAAGGACATTTAAATTTCAGCTTTTTTGACCGCATTCCTGACAGCCCGAGACACTGCGGCGCGGCGCGCCCGCCGACTCCTCCAGCGTTTCCAATCCGTCCCCTGCTCATTTTCAGAAGTTGGTATTTGACTTCTAAAAAGAAGAGTATAATTAAAGACCTTGGTGTACCAAGGTGTTAGGACTTGGTATTGCAGAGAGGCAGGGAAGGCTGGAGCAGGGATGTGTCCGAGCCTCCTGGATTCTTTGATTTAGAAAGACGAGGGCAAATCTCCGCGCCCAGCCTTGCTTGGCTCCCCCGCCGCCTCGGTGCCCCCGCGCCCCTTAGATGTGGAGGGACCGCCAAGAGCCGGGCTCCGGGCTTTTTCAGAACAGCTGCTATCCTATGCGGGTGAAAGGAAGGGCGCCCCCGCTCCGGGCGCGGAATCGCAGCTGGGGCTCTGGCGCAGTTGCGTAGCCGTATTGGGTGTTGAAGGGAGGTGCCCCTATTATTCTCCAATACCCCCCCTTTTATTTGGGGAGGGGGTGTTAAGGGCCGCGGCTGAACTGGCCGCCCCAGCCGGCGAAGGAAAAAGAATTGAAGCAGGCAAAGAAGAGAGGGGGCGCCGTAAGGGTGGGGATGGAGAAGGAGGCTGGGAGGGGCGGTGGCGCCCGCGGGGAAAGGAGCGCGGCGAGGGTGCGAGCGAGAACGGGCGCAGCCGCTCCCGCGGCAGCGCCTCTCTCCTTCTCCTTCAGGTGGCGCAAAACTTTTCGGGGTTGGCAGATTGTATTCCCCACCGCCGCCTCTCCCGGCCTCTTCCCGAGGCCAGAGCCTATTTCGATTGCTCTGCGGCTGGGGCTGCGGCGCCGAGTCCTAGGCTTTGCGCTCTGGGCTCCTGGGGGACCGAAGTCCCGCTGGCGCTCCGCAGCTGACTCAGCCAAGTATGTGTCCGAGATAGGAGGTCCTACTAAGGGGGCTAAGGAGTGTCCTTTTGGCGCCCGCCTTCTCGCCACTGGCCCAATTTGGGGATACCGCTGGAAGGGGAGTGGTTCGTGATTGTGGCGCGCACTGCGCGCTGTGCAGGGTTGAGGCACCAACCTAGACCCCCCTCAACTTAATAATTGCCCCCTTTGTGTGCCCCCTTCAGCAGGCTGCCGCGATGCCCCTCAACGTCAGCTTCGCCAACAGGAACTATGACCTCGACTACGACTCAATGCAGCCCTATTTCTTCTGCGACGAGGAAGAGAACTTCTACCACCAACAACAGCAGAGTGAGCTGCAGCCTCCAGCGCCCAGCGAGGATATCTGGAAGAAATTCGAGCTGCTGCCTACCCCACCCCTATCGCCCAGCCGCCGCTCCGGGCTCTGCTCGCCCTCCTACGTCGCGTTCGCGTCCTTCTCCCCCAGGGATGTTGATGACGGCGGCGGCGGCAGCTTTTCCACCGCAGACCAGCTGGAGATGGTCACCGAGCTGCTGGGAGGAGATATGGTGAACCAGAGCTTCATCTGCGACCCGGACGACGAGACGTTTATCAAAAACATCATCATCCAGGACTGTATGTGGAGCGGCTTCTCTGCCGCCGCCAAGCTTGTCTCCGAGAAGCTGGCCTCCTACCAGGCTGCGCGAAAAGACGGCGGCGGCCGCAGCCCCGCCCGAGGGCACGGCGCCTGCTCCACCTCCAGCCTGTACCTGCAGGACCTGAGCGCAGCCGCCTCTGAATGCATCGACCCCTCCGTGGTCTTCCCCTACCCCCTCAACGACAGCAGCTCGCCCAAGCCCTGCTCCTCCCCTGACTCCACCGCCTTCTCCCCGTCCTCAGACTCGCTGCTCTCCTCTGCCTCCTCCTCCCCACGGGCCACCCCCGACCCCCTGGCCCACCACGAAGACACACCACCCACCACCAGCAGCGACTCTGGTAAGCTGGACCCCTGACAAAGGGGATGGGCTGGCTGGCTGGCTTTCTTACTCTCATTGGTTGCTAATTCTGCTGGCCACTTCATTTGACACCGTCTTTTCTCTTATGTTTGGGAAATAGCTGATCTGGAATGATCTGCGGACTACAGCGTCCCAGAAAACACTGGGCTTTTTACTCTTCCCTTCCATCCCTTCCTCTTAAGACCGCCCTAGTCGCCAGCTCCTTCCTTACCCTTCCCACCCCTTAGGAATTTCGTTTGGATTTTAAATCTTCCTGATTTATCTTGCAACTCAATCCATTTCCTCTTACCTTTCTGAAGCATTTTAATTGCTCTAGGGGGAAGGGAGTAGTGTGGATTAGGTTGAGGGAGGATGGATCTCTGTGAGAGAAAGAAGTACCTCCCTTTTCCTTTCTGAGAAGTGTCCGAATGTAAGGGACTGCAAGTCTTCTGCCTGGAAGGGGGGCTGTGGACAGAGGGAAGGGCAGCCTCCAGTCTGAGGCTGCAGACTAGAGGAAGTGCCTGAGTGAGGGATCTGGGAGGTTCGGATCTTTTCAACCTCTTCTGAACACTTACAAGCGAATTCTTTCCAAAATTGGACTTTTCTTCCTCCCCCCACCCCCTCCCAACTTTGGCCAGGCTGCAAGATATCCTCCCCCCCCCCCTCCGCACTTCCAGTAAAATAGGGAGTTGCTAAAGTCTTACCAAGAAATTTGCAGCTATCCTTTGCAATATCTGAAGGGTTCTTGGTAAAGTCCCTTAAAAAATAGGAGGTGCTTGGGAATGTGATGTGCTCTGGGTGTGTCCAAAGCCTCATTAAGTCTTAGGTAAGAACTGGCATCAATATTGTATCCTGGTAAATTGTAATTTTCTTGCCTGTGCCATAAATCCAGCTGTCATTCTGCCCTCCTGGAGGGAAGAGCAAGGGTGACTGGCCAATTTTGTGCCAGGGTCCTTCCTCCTATAATAAATAATATTATTTATATAGCATTAGTTTCATGTAGTCATTCATAACTGAAGGAAATGTTGTTAACCGGAGGATTTCTATTTCCTTTCCTAAAGAGGAAGAACAAGAAGATGAGGAGGAAATTGACGTTGTTTCCGTGGAAAAGAGGCAGCCCCCTTCCAAAAGGTCAGAATCGGGGTCACCCTCTGCCGGAAGTCACAGCAAACCTCCTCACAGCCCACTGGTCCTCAAGAGATGCCACGTGTCTACCCATCAGCACAATTACGCGGCACCCCCATCCACTAGGAAGGACTATCCCCCTGCCAAGAGGGCCAAGTTGGACAGTGGCAGAGTCCTGAAACAGATCAGCAACAACCGCAAATGCTCCAGCCCCAGGTCCTCCGACACGGAGGAGAACGACAAGAGGCGGACGCACAACGTGCTGGAGCGCCAGAGGAGAAACGAGCTGAAGCGCAGCTTTTTCGCCCTGCGAGACCAGATCCCGGAGTTGGAAAACAACGAAAAAGCCCCCAAGGTAGTCATCCTTAAAAAAGCCACCGCCTACATCCTGGCCATCCAAGCAGAGGAGCAAAAGCTCATTTCAGAAAAGGACGTATTGCGGAAACGGCGGGAACAGTTGAAACACAAACTTGAACAGCTACGGAACTCCTGTGCGTAAAAGTGGACCTCCTGGAGGGAGGAACTAGAATCACTTATGACTTCTCAGTTGTTACTAAGAGAAAGTAAGGAAAAAGGTTCCTTCTGACAAGAAGGCAGAATTTATCATGTCTGAACTCCCCCTCCCCCTCCCCCCCCAAATGCATGGTAAAGTGCAACCGCACAACCGTGGCTGGGTCTTAGGACTGAAAGGCGTAGCCATAATGTAAACTGCCTCAAAATGGAACATTGGGCATAAAAGAACTTTTTTTATGCTTGCCATCTTTTCTCCCCCCCCCTTTAACAAATTTGTATTTAAGAATTGTTTTTTTTAAAAAAATCTTAAAATTTCCTTTGTAAATACGGCCATCAAATGTAAATAACTTTAATAAAACGTTTATAAGTAGTTATACAAGATTACAAACGTATGTGTATTATAAACCATAATTTTTTTATTTAAATACATTTTCCTTTTTAAAATTGATTTTTTTTATTGTTTTTAGAAAAAAATAAAATATCCGGCAAATATATAATTGAGCCAAATCTTACGTTTGTGAGTGTTTTGTTTCTTCTTTGTTTCATTCTCTTTTTCGTCAATTACAAATTAACAGAATTTGGCCCTTGAAGGAGTGAGTTACAAAGATGGGAAAAGAAGTTATTTAAGAAATGACAAGGGCTATGTTAAAATGGGTCTGGGGCCTAAAGGTCTTTAACTTATCACGGTTATAAGATGCTTCCTGGAGGTTGGTGATAAAGGGCCAGAAGGGCCAGAGTTGATACTTGAAAGAATGAAAGCGCAGTAAGCCCATGGTGCAGGGTGAGAGGCAAAAAGAGGCAAAGGGGTGCTAGAGATTAGAGATAGCAGTTAAGTATACAAGGGGTGGGTTGAGGGCTGGGGGGTGGGGAGGAGAATGAAGAGGAAACCCTCTCTTTTGTTAACCCATGTCATTCCCCAATTCCAAACCCAGGGTTCTGCCCAGCGAAAGAGTAGATGGGGGGGGGGGGTAGAAACCACATTTTGTTTCTTGTCCAATCCTACCAGGTGCCGGGCCCTCTGCATCGGTTACCTTGTAAGCCCCAGAGAAGCTCTGGGAGGTATGTTGTTAACCTAGATTTTACAAGCAAGGAAATAATAGAAGTTCAGGGAGGTGATGCGACTTCTCTGAGGCTGCACAGATGATAAAAGGCAGTATCCAAGTGCCACCTTTGTTGGCCTTTGCTTTAGCAAATCCCACTCCTGTCTTGGCTTATCCGAAAGCATAGAGATCAAGAATGCTTTGGGTTGCGGGCCCAATGGACTGTGTCCTAACTGTACTGTAGTACCTGGGAGCCAGTCATTCTTCTAAGTATTTTCCTTATCCAACACCACAGCAACCCTGTGAAGGAAGTACTGTTGAGTTCCTCACAATACAAGGGGAAACTGAGGCACAGAAAATCTTATCCATGTGGCCAAACTCCACGGACAATGAAGAGTAGAGCTGGGATTCAAACCCAGGCGATTGATCCACCCTTAAACTGCTCGGCCACTTCGCAAAGAGGACGGAAGGAACCGGCGCGCCACGCCTGTGAACAGGAGTCGCCAATCTCATGGGTCCTGTGTCTTTAATTTGAACAGGCAGGCCCTGTCGGAAGTCAGGTGCCCATTGTTTGTTTTGCTTTGTAGGTCACTGTTTAGTTTTTCCTTTCACATTGACACATCCAGAACTCACACTGCCTCCTACCTCAGCCATTCGCTGAGATGCGGCAGTTGCTCTGGGGAAGCCGCCAGTTTAGAACTGCTACTGTTCGGATCATAAAATAAAATATAATTACTCTTTGTCGTGTGAGTCATTATTTTGAAAACAACAGACTCCCGACCTCTTTCACACTTGGACAATTACGACACATGCTCATCCCTGGAACATGAAAAGGCATTTTTGAATGTAGATATTACTAATTAGGAGCCTTTGAAAACCTACAGCCTGAGCCAGAAACTTGAACGTTGACCACATAGGTAAATGGAAGCTACTATCATTGTTCTAATTATTTCATTGTCTCAGCCTCACAGGAGATCTTCAGATTTCTGTCCTCTTTGAGATTTTAATCCACCACCACCCATAAATCAATAGGTAATTACTGTCTTTGGTTCTGGCCCCTACAATAATTTAATCAAGCCTTTTATGTCTTTTTCTTGATCCTTTATTTGGGGTTCTAAGTACTTCAAGTTGTCCCACCCTGTACCCTAAAGTCAAAGGCAGGTAGAATCCACAGAAGTCGTGTGGTTCGAAGTGTCACGATATCGCCTGGACAGTCTCAAGTAGTTCACTCTTTGCCCTTTTGTGGCTGGACAGCGGCCCTGCAGTGACTCACTTGGGAACCCAGAAGGTGTTAGTTTGAATCACTAAATCCGGGCAAGCCCACAGAACACCAGAAACTGTTCCTCACTTAGGAAAACAACTCCCCATTCCAGAGGCTCAGGAAACAACTTTAGGGCTGCAGATCCTGGCTGTGGGGATAGAAAGGGCACCATTCCAAACACCTCTTTGGCTCTCGGCTTAGGTTTAGGAAGCCAAGGAACAGTCTTCCCATAAAGTCAGGCTGATCTTGACCCCGACACAAACAGGCCCTCAGAGCCAATCTAGAGAGTCCCCAGAGTCTATGCCATTGTGTAATCTATTTTGTAGATTAAAAAAAAAAAAAAAAAAAAGAATTAGAGAGGGAGGGGGAGGACCATGCAATTCAGTCAGACTACACCCTAAGGAATAAGCTGATACTGAGTGTGGCTTTTACCTAGAAGTCTGCAGGAATTACTGGCCCCTCCTACAGGATTCCTAGGGTGGGTTTTTTAGGGATGGAATGTGTAAAGAGGAAGGAAGTGTTGTTCTGTGCCTCCATTTGCAAGCAAAAAAGGAAATCCAGGTTATAAAACTTATAAAATGTTTAAATGAACAAAATTTTCACAATCCCAGCCTAATGCGTTGGTTCCTCACGGCTGGGATACGTATGTAGAGTTCTCAGCTGGTCTTTAAGACAAACTCTGGCGCAAAGCTTGGGAAAGAGGACAAAAACGTTGTGTTCAGGGGTTTTCTGTGGTGTATTTGCAATAACCTATGATTGGCTCCGTCAATTATAATTTTCCAGTAGACACGCTAAAGCCTCCTGAAATATTTCTTCCCATCCATAAATAACACTTAGGCTAGAAAATGCTGACGGATGTCCCCCAACACTATAAATGCCCTGGTAGTTTTACCTTTAAGGTTATAGACCACGACAGGCCTATTTCCGAGGAGGGGAGAAACAAGCTAACAGGAGGAGAACAGGGAGCTGTTTAGAAAAATAAAGTAAAACTAGAAAGTCTCTACCACCCACCATGAACGCTGAGGCAGTACTCTTTCTCCTTCTAGACCCCCCCCCCGCCCCGGGGAAAATCCAGACTGGTTCCAAGTTTAGAAGAAATGTCCAAGAATGTTTGCTTTGCCGACCTGGTTTGAGGTGACTTTCAATGACTCTGAGTTGATTTCACATTTTGTTTTTCATTTTCTTTCTTTCACTATCGGCCTACGCTAATCTTTTTAGGAAGACACGTTTGAAGAGAACAAGTGTTAATGGGATGTAGATCTTAGGAGGTTAAAAGGAATGTTCTTTGTTTCTAAAGAATGCCTGGGAGCTCCGCCGCCACAATCCCCAACACTTTCTGCCCATTGTCACCCCATCAAGGGATAAAACACTCCAGCGCAGTCAGGGGTCTCTAGATGTAGGGAAGGGGACAGTTTGGGGAGAGACAATTAGCTTTTATTACACACTTACTGTCTGCCTTACACTCACAACAGCCCAGCAGGAGAGTAATTGTTGAATATAACAATACTGAAGTTCAGACAAATTCAATAGCTCTCCCAAAGTCACCCAACTACCAACAATACAAACTACAGTAATGGTAGACAGTGTTTACTATGGGCTAAACGCTTTACATGCATTATCTTATTTCATCCTCAAAGCAACTCTTAGGAAGTAAATTATATTTCTAATCCCATTGTCCGCATAAAGAGTTGGATACCTGGAGAGATGAAGTAATTTGCCTGCATTTACAGAGCTAACAAAATGGTGAAGGGATTATCCATTTGTTCATAAATATTTATTGAGCACCTACAAGTGTGCCTGCACGGTGCTGGGAAGAAATGTTAAGGCGATAGATAAGGTCCTAGACCTGTAGACTATTGGAGAGCAGAGAAAATCAGCAGTTGGACTTTTTAAGTTGTTTTACTAACACTTTTGAGTCTTTACTATGTAGCAGGAGAGAGTTGAAGTTCTGAGAGCTGCTGAAGACCCCCAGTTTCCCCCCAGGGAAAACGAATCAAGGTTGGAACCTGTGAAATGCTGGAGGAGGAACGAAGGAAAAAACATTGTCCGTGGGATGGAGGGAAGCTAGAGAAAGTGATCTAACCGAGAGAAGGAAGTCCTATCAGAGGTGTCAAAAGTAGCAAGAGGTGCAACAGGAAGTGCAGAAAATGGTGCATTGGACTAAGCAATAGGGCAACGTCTTCCTGGCTACCCTTCCTCCCCAGTGGGACGGCAACCCCATCAACCCAGGATGGTCCCTCTGCATTGATTTCATTCCATCTTTCACTTGAAACAGCTGCCTAAGCATTTCCCCAGCCCCCAGCCTTCCTGCAATACCTTTACCAGGAGTTCCCACAGAGTGATTCCTAGATCGTCAGCATCAACATCACCTGTGAATTTGTTACATCTACGAACACATACAGCAGTCTGAGGTTTCAATGTCCACAGTTTCAGTTACCCGAGGTCAACTGTGACCCCAAAATACTACATGAAATGTCCCAGAAATAAACAATTGATAAGTTTTGCATTGCTCACCATTCCGAGTAGTGTGATAAAATCTCACCGTCCTAACAGGGACATGAGTCATCCCTTTTTCCAGCAGATCCACGCTGCAATCCCCACCCATTAGTCACTTAGCCGGCTAGGTTATCAGATTGGCTGTCATGGTATCACAGTGCTTGTGTGCAAAACACCATCACTTTACTCAATAAAGGCCCCAAACGGCAAGAGTAGTGATGCTGGGAATTTGGTTACACCAGAGACTTGGGCAATTGCTTCCTTTAAGAGAAAAGGTGAAAGTTTGGCACTATCTGTGGTTTCAGGCATCCATTGGTGGTCTCAGAACACATCTTCGGCAGATAAGGGGTGGCCACCATTGCCCCCCTGGATCAGAAACTCAGGAGCTGGGCCCCGAGAGCTTGAAAAACTTCCAGCACCACTGCGTTCTCCATCACTGCCACATAGGAATCACGGATGGGGGTATGCCTTTCTCCTGCTTACAACCTTTCTTCAGGTTCCTGCAACCCTGCAGATGAAGCACAAAACAGCCTACACCTTCAAGGTCCTCCACATACTCACACCCAGGTCTTTTTGCTCCAATTTCTCCAGTGACATTGAAAAAGTATTTGCATAAATTATTAACTGAATTGAAGGACCTAAAGTCTAACGGGGTCATCTGACAGCCCAGGACATCAGGAAAGGT